AAAGAAGTAATAATTCTTAAAAGAAAATGGAAATATTCTCTTTTATATATTGTAACGGTTCCCGTGACCGCTACAATATTATTCATGGGGTGATCCTAGGTGACCTCGCGCTGGTCGCCGGCTAGCTCAGTACTCGATGCGACAATTCGCACCGACCGCGGCGGCGTCGTGGTCCAACCTAGGATGAAATAACGGGAAAGGTTTTGCCGAAATAACAATTCGCGAATTAACATAGTAATTAAGAAATGAATTATTATGAAGTTTCTAGTTCTGGACCGATAATTACAGCGCACGCAGCAGCGCAATCGCGGACATTCATTCCTCACACATCGAAATCGCGATTGCCCATGCGAGCATTGCCGAGGTTGCTAAACCGGGCCAATATTACTTTTACTATGGTAACCTAATATCTGGAAGCCAATGTTTTTTTGACATCAAAACATTATCAAATTGATGAGGTTACCCCGAATTAGGTTATCGACATTGTTTTGATTCTGGGCCAATATTGACAAATATGACTTCAAAAAGCAATTATAAGTATGTCAAAAAATCTCGATATTTGAAGAGACGTCGTGAAATTCTCTCCGATAGCTCTTCCTGTGCCTCAAAAATTTGTTCAATGTCTAAAGAAGATATTGCAGAGTGTTTGTTAAATAAAGAAAAACAATCATCAAATTTAAATGTCACTTCAGAGCTGAATGAAAAATCATTGTAAGTTTAATAAAATTATGTTTTCTTTTCAAATTTAAACTTATAATGTAAAAATTTTAATTCTACTGTAGAAATGTTGAGCTTAATAATGGTGAGAAAAATTTTGAAGCACTGAGTTGTGAAGATTTGAATTGTGGCAATTACACTGATATTGATGAAGACTTTGACTGTGGCAATTACACTGATATTGATGAAGACTTGAATTCTGATAACTCATCATCCAGTGACGAGTGCTCACAAGAGGAATTTGATTTACAGTCAAGACATGACTTAGAGGTTACTATTTAATGATTTTTATCATTAGCCCATTGAATATTTATTCAAAATTATTCCAAATTATTCAAAATATTTATTTTTCAACATTTAGGTTAATATAGCTTCGATTGATGAAATCCTGTTTTTGAAAAAATTACTACAAATTTGGGCAATCAACAATATTTTCACTTTACGTAATTCAACTATTACTGAACTGCTACATATTTTAAAAGGTAGAGTTGATGAAGATCTGCCCCTTACAGCTGCCACTTTACTGAAATCTAGAAATATCTTACACAATACAAAAGTTGTTGAAACATCGAAGGGAAATAATGGTTCTTATACTTATTTTGGCCTTTCAAAAGTATTGCAAATTATGGTCAAAAACGGTGATTACAATGAAGAAATATTAGAGATTTTAGTTGGCACTGACGGATTAAGCATTTACAAAAGTTCCAGTAAGCAATTCTGGCCGATCTTAATAGAAATCTATCATAAAAACTACAAATGCAATCCAGGAATTGTTGCTCTGTACTGTGGCGACTCGAAACCAAAAAAAATGGATGATTTGTTTGATGATTTTATCGAAGAAGCCAATGCTCTAATAGTGAATGGATTAAAAGTTGGCGAAGTTCAGAGAGGGCTGGGTACTCAAGTGGTACTTACAGTTCGTTGCGTACTTCGTCGTTGCCTTGGTCAGTTCAGCCTTTTCGCTCTGTCCGTGCTGCTGCACTCACGCACCGGATAGGCAAAATCGTGCTTCAATCCGTTGCCGCGTACAAATGAACCACGTGGAGATCTGGAACGCGACACCGCTTCGCGTGTCCCGACAATCAAGCCCGTCCGAAGGCGTACACGCGAGTCCGAGTCGTACGTACTGCACGCACCCGTTCACACATTCGGCGCTACTCGTTCACGCTGGTCCGGGTCGTGCATCTAGTCCGGGCGCCAGCTATGGGTCGAGTATGCATTTTCAGGTCCTTAAGGTAACCAAAGCTTTTTATAGGTTTTTTGGTGTGCTGAATCGATTTAGCTTGGTTACCAAGCGTTAAAATTGGTATTTTAAAAGTTATTAACAAATTTATTGTTTATAACTAAAAAAATTTGTTTAAAAAAATCTGAAAAAATTTACACGTATTCTTTGACTAATTCTAAGACTATTTTGTTCCTTGCATTTTTTCGTTTTAGGCGTTCCTTACCGAGCTAGAAAATCGCAAAGTTATTTTTTTACGCACGAATTTGTTCAGAAACCATTCATATTTTCAATCTTTGCGATTTTCTAACTTGTTAAGGAACGTCTAAAACGAAAAAATGCAAAGAACAAAATAGTCTTAGAATTAGTCAAAGAATACGTGTGAATTTTTTCAGATTTTTTTAAACAAATTTTTTTAGTTATAAACAATAAATTTGTTAATAACTTTTAAAATACCAATTTTAACGCTTGGTAACCAAGCTAAATCGATTCAGCACACCAAAAAACCTATAAAAAGCTTTGGTTACCTTATGGACCTGAAAATGTATACTCGACCCATAGCTGGCGCCCGGACTAATCAGGGTACATGCACTTGCGAAGTACGGCGCGATAAAACTTACGCCCGACGCGACTTCTCGCGATTTCGGAGCCACGTCGATGCTGGTCGTATCAGCGTCCGAAAACGATCTCGCCGCGCTGCTCTCAGTCGCGCGGCTCGCAGGAGTGAATCGACCACGTGACCACGCAATTTGTCACCCCTGCTCCAAAATATTCGATGGCATCATGCGGTTCGCGACACGCAGTATCCCCACTCACACATACTCGCACACACATACGTCTCGCTGCCACTGCTGAGTGGAAAAACATCAGTAAAATTGTACATTTCACATTAGTATGGCTGAGGTGGCGTGAGAGCTGTGACGGCGTAACGCGACCGTCACAATATACAAACGTTTAATCAATAAAATTAAATTTTCTCATGATTCTATCTTTATAGATAGATGTGATATCTTTTCCGCTTATCATAATATAACTCTATTTATAATAGGTATGCACTTTTAAAATAATTTAAACTGACACATAATTTGTTTCATTTTATTTTTCTTAATATATATCTATAATGTTTTTTTCGCGTCATAGCACACAATGATTTTTAATTTTAACAAAAATTATACAATGTAAACGGCTCACAGGTAGTCGAAGATCAGGAGAGAGCCGTGCAAATGGCTATGTATCAATTGTTAATAATCGAATACTTATATCTTCACAAGTAAATGTCATCGTCAAAGATTCATTATTTATACTTCATCTAAAAATGAAAATATCAAATGATTGTATATAAATCATACCACGCTTAAGGATTTAATAAAAAATCCACGCATAAAAAAATTACAAGTATCAATCACAGAACCTCGTGCTTCTCACAATTCAATAATTTCTTTATGAAGATAAATTGTCATATCATTTTAAATAATATAATATTTTGATTAGCCTCTGATTAGATGCGATTTATAAATCATTTAGAAATGGAATATTGCACATCAAACAACCTCGTGCTCTTCGACTTAATTTTGCTTTAAACAACATGGCATGATTACAGTAAAATCTCTCTATAGTGGACACCCATAAAACCTGGAAAGTTGTCCGCTATTGGGAAGAATACGAAGTGGGGAAATATGAAAAAAGAAGAACATTTTTGACTATATCTTTTTTTTAATCCCCGGCGGAAAAAAAATTGTTCAAGAAAGAGTAAACGTAGATATTAAAACTATCAAATTAAATTGTAAAATGTAATAAAATTTAAAAAAATGTAAAGTCACTAACGATTTCGGAAAACCAATGCATTAAAAATGCAGCAATACGCAATTTTCTCGCATGTTATTGATAAAAATTCTAACGATTAGAGGAGAAACTGTCCGTTAATACCTGAATATAATTAAAAATAATTTCGTTTTTACCTGTGAAATTTTATTCTATTTATTTCGGATGTACAGAAACCACAATGATTTTGGTTAATTTTCTGTAACCATTCCGTTTTTGCCACTAACGACTTCTTTATATAGTAAATAATTCATCAAGTATAGAATAATGTATACAATCTGAAACGATTTTCATTCTCATTTCTATTTCGATTGCATAAAAGTAAAAGTCTTCGCGCTATCATGTATTTACAATTTATAATTATATTAGATTTACCGATATTTAACACCATCATCATGATACAATCTTTATATGCTTCAAACTATATAAGTTTTACCATTCAAGTTTCATTAATATTACATCCCTGCTGAAAAAAATCATGGGAAAAATCATATGATGTTTTGGCATGATTAATCATATGATTTTTTATATGATTTATCATATGATTTTTCCCAACAAGGGAAGCAAACCCTTATTTTAATATGAAATCCATTGAAGAGGAAGTGCCAAAATATAATTTAAAGTCTGAATTTATAAATGTCATTGAAAATAAAGAAATACTTTTAAAAGTAGCTAAAAAAAGGTACATTTAGAGCACAACAATTTGAATCATTTAAAAGAGTTTGAAGTGAATTTTTTGTTTTTGGTCGAGTTTTTGGTCAAATTGATTGTGTAAATGGCCATATCTTTAACTATTGAAGATAGATAAAAATAATTTGTTATAATTTTATTTGTCTTTGAAAGACAACGAGATTGACGTATAATATTAATTGAAAATGTGTCCATTAGCAAAAAAATTATACAATAAGATAATAATTATGGCTTAAGATAAGCTATTTTTATAGTTGCTATTAAATATTCCCAACAAATTTAGTACAAAAGAGTACAGAAAAAACGGTCTAGATTATTATTTTTCGATTCTAAATGCTACTTTAACGCAGCGACACCATAATTGCAACTATTTTACAAATCACCCATACATGTTATGAGAAAGCCTAAGCCGCAGCTCTCTCTGTCATACTCGCCGGAGCTGAGGGGGCGCGAAGCGCGCTCCTCAATATAAACTTGCCAGGACTCAGGTGGAGCTTCTCGATGATCGCAAGACTGCCGACTCAACTGGTACTATATTTATATATAATTGGTAGCGGCACAAGCGAGGCGCGAGCGCTCTGTTGTGTTTCTGTTTCTCATACGCATCACCTCATTGCAGTCAGTACGTGTTGTAGCGAAAGGTTAAGTTTGCGTGAAATATTTCGCAAAAAGTGGTACTGTTGCTTTGTTGTTTTTATCAATAAAAAACTTTGCGTATTCCGACATGGCTGACGAAGATCAAAGAACAATTTGGTGCGGCAATCTGAGTGAACGAACAACAGAAGAAATATTATACGAACTATTTTTGCAGGTGATGTAAATTTTTCTTCTTCTCGTCTCTTTATCGGCCTTGTAGTCGAAAAGTAGATTGCCGAACTGCTGTTTTAATTCATTTTTCATCAAAATCACTTATAAATTTCAATTTAGCCATTGAATAATGTTTTTTTCAATTCTTTACAGGGTGGCCCTGTACAGAGAGTCAACATACCGAAAGACCGCGATGGAAGACAAAAAAGTTTCGGCTTTGTGACCTATAAACATAAATGTTCTGTGCCTTATGCTTTAAATTTATTTGATGGCACAACCTTATTTAATAGGCTTCTGAACTTGAAATCTAGAAATGCCAACTCCGAAATGCCACAACAACAGAATCAAATGTCACATATGCAACATCAACAACAGAATCAAATGCCATATATACAAAAGCAGCAGTATCAACAGTATCAACAACAACAAAATATTCAAGCTTTGCAAATGAGCGTATTATCAGGCAACATGTCAACTTATGGACTTTCAATGATGTCTGGAACAATGCCTTATCCTGGTCAAAATTTGCCGTACTCTCAGAACTCAAAGATTTCACAAGAGTATGGTAGACATAATAGACATCATAGAACCTCTCATCATCCATATCACGATGATAATAACCATGAGAGACGCAATCACCGAACTGATGCATATAACCGAGAATCTAAACATTCATCTCACAGACATTCACATCAATCTCATAGCAGGAATGATAGACATGAAAAATATGAAAGAAGTGAACGATACGATAGAAATGACAGGCATGAAAGAGATGAAAGAGGTGAAAGAAGGAGGAGATATCATTAATTTCAAAACGCGTGTAGAATCTCATTTGTAGAGTGTATTTGTATTACATTTGTAGATGTATAGAGTATTATTAGTATCTATACTTTTCATGTTTTTAGAACGGATCTAAATACATGCATTTAAAAATTTTTCTAAAATTTTTGCAAGAAAATTTATAATGTTGGTTAAAACATTTTCAAAAAGTTTTGGATATATAATACGTCTGCTTTAAAAATGTACAACAATTTTTACCACTATTTATTATACTTGGATAGTTACAGTATAATTTTTCTTAAATTCTCGTTAACATTTTGACTTAGCTTGCATAATAAATGCAGTACTTCAATATCTGAAAGATAATAATCACCTGATAATGAATTTTTGTGTAATATAATATTGTAAAACAAATTTAAAGTACGATCAAGAAAATATATTTCCAACAAAATTTGTATTGCATCGAATCTTATTCTTTCAGTGCTTGTAAAATTGACAAAATATCTGTTTATAAAAAAATTATTTTCTATTAACAACTTAAAATGAGACATAACTTTTATTATAACTTGAAAATTTGCTTTATCATAATGTAAAATACTCTTAAATAACAAGAATTTATACAATATTATTTAATTTCTATAAAATTATATTTATTTATATGAAAGTACAAGTTTTTCGAAAAGTGTTAGAACATCTTAACTTTAACCATCCATTGGTAATTGGAAATTTGAAATAAAAAAATTTCAATTCATGTTCTCCAACTTTCAATAGAATATCACTGTACATATATACATAGATGTACATAAGTCGCCATATTTAAAGGATGCATTGTTATAAAATTAAATCTATGCTGAAACTTTAGAATTCAGTATTTTGAAATATATTTTTTTTAAAACACTTATTCAATGAGTTCTTATGTTTTTTAAAACTTTCTATAATCAACATAGCAGCTTTTTCAGCAGCTACTACAACTGGTATATGGGTATTACCACTTGGTAGTTCAGGAAATATTGAAGCATCAACAACATATAAGTTTTGTGTACCTTTTACCCTGAAAATAAAGATATTCTTAAGAAAAAGAAGGAAAAACAGTTCAATCTAAATTCTAATGTACCTGAATTTAAAATCTACAACTTCACCAATCTTGCAAGTACCAACAGGGTGATAGGTAGTTAAAGATAAATATTGTAAATAACACTCCCAATACTCTTTTGTATCAAATTTTATCATTTCACATCCTGGAAAATGTTTTTCATACAATTTAGCTCCCACTTTTTGCATTGATTCAGTCTTGATTATTTCCTTAATAATTTGGATTCCTAAATTCAATTTTTTTGTATTTGATGTTACATGATTCAAAACAGGATAAAAATTTTATAAGATATACCTTCGATTAAAGTTAATGCATCTTCTTCATGGGATAAATATTTTGGGTCAACAATTGGTAAATCAAATGGATTGTTACTTTTCAACTTTATTTCTCCAGAGCTCTTAGGATGCAATAGCACTGGGGCTATTGTAATTGATGATCCATAAGATAAAGGAGCAAAGTATTCATCAAAAACCTGTAAATAAAAAATGTATAGATTCATACTTGAAATATCTGATAATACTTTAAATCATACATGTTTTGTAAATTCTCAATTCATTACATGTACAAAGTTGTGAGATATTAATTTATACTCCATTGTATTGTTTTTCATTTACATAAAAAAATTTAACTTCATACAAATTAAGTCATGCAGAATTTAAATTACACATAATACAATTTACAACCTCTTTGGAAATTCTAATATTTTTTCTTAACAAGACTCCATTATCTTGCGATAATCCAACTGGAAAAATCATAAACTGAAGATCTGGTGTGGATAAATTATTTAGTTTACTGTGAAATGTGCCAATTATTTCAACTCCAGCAAGCGTCCAAGGTCCTTCAAAAAAATTGTTATCGTATTAGAACCTTAAATTTTATTTACACATAAATATTTTACCTTGGCCTGATTTAAAATAATCAAACATCGATGAAGGATTCAAGGCATCAGCAATACTCATTCCAATATTGTTATCAAGATTTATTAAATCAAATCCTGTTATGATATGATCTTTTAAATTCTGGCCAACCGGTAAATTGACTATATTTTTTATCTGAAATATAATAGAATTGATATTAAAATATAATTACACTGTACTTGTACATTGTACTTCAAATTTTACCAACTTACCTTCATTTCTTCTAAGTGATCTTTAGGACCAATACCAGATAGCAATAGTAATTTAGAACTACCAATAGTACCAGCGCTAAGAATTACTCCTTTTTCTGCAAATGCCTTGAGTGTTTCATCATGTCTAATATAATTCACTCCATATGCTGTATTCAAATTAAATAAAATCTAAAAATATATGATTGAGCTATTTTGTATAACATTTGAATGAAATTTTTTTGCATAACTCACTTTAGTAACAAATGAATTTGTTATAACTGTAAGTTTGTTATTGGATTTCTGCTTCATGGCTCTGTCTACACTCCAGCGTTCACCATTTTTCATTGTTAACTGTACTCGCTTGAATTCTGGAACAAAATTATTTCTGATTGTAATGAAAATATTTTTATGCATTAAAAATCAAGGTTTTTTACAAACTAGTATTCATTTTGCTATTAATATTTTTTAATGTCAATTCTTCAAGGCCTTTCAATATAGCATCAGATACTATTGATTTCCATTTTGGTTTATCCACCTGTAATAATTCGCTGCTTTTCATAAGCATTTCTGTAAAAAGATGTGTTTTGGATATCATATTAAATATAAAATTGAAAATGTTCATGTAATAATTAAAATATATGTTACCTTCAAAGTCAGGAAACCATGATTTATAATCATCCGGATGACCTTCTGAATGTATCATATAATTCAATCGACTGGAACCACCAAGTATTTTGCCTGCAGACCAAGCACTCTGATTGTTGATCAGAGCTTTACATGCCTTTTCCTGTGGCACAGTCAAGTACTGCCAATCATAAGGAGTATTGATAAGCATAGGTGCAATGATGGGTATATTAAAAAAAGGAACATCTGATCCCCCAGCTTCAATTAGCAATGTATTAGCCCCAGCATTCGATAATCTTGTAGCCAGTGTTGAACCTGCACTTCCAGCCCCGACTGTAACAAAGATTTCAACACAAATTCGTATCGGTGCATCTGATGGATAAAAAAACTCACCAATGATGTAATCGTAAACTGAATTGTTTTTAATGTCATTGTAAAACCAGTCTTTGTGAGACGTGTACAAGTACGACAAGCTAACGTAATAAGAAAATATAACAACCCCTAAACTATAAATACTGTAAAAAATGAATTTCAACAAAAACATTGTGATGCTCGTGACATTTGCGTTTGAATAATATACTCATATACACGACACTAGCTTATTTGAATTACGAGCGTCGTCTGCTGTCGGTGCAGTGAAATTTCTTCCATATCGACTCTCGTACGATCTCACGAACGTACCCGCCAGATGGCAGCTACCAATAAAATGGCCAAATTTTTTCACCTCGCCAATGTATCTAATGACGAAGTCAATAAAAAAAGCTACTACTAATTTTTTCTCCCAAGTTATACTATTTCTATTACTTTCGCCAAAAACCGGAACGAACTGAATTTTTGCTCCAAAAATTAATTGTCGCACCGCATCATCTGTGCGCTCGACGCTGAGAAGAGACGTTTTTCAAAGTACAACAAATCGACGTCAAAATTTTTCGCAACAACGAAGAAAAAACGAAGAAAAAAAACATCTACGCGCCACCAGCGGGAAAATTCCGCATATAAATACCACGATTAACGCGTTGCGCTGCTCGTTGAATTATGCATCGCATAGATTATTACACTCGGAGCGAATAATATAAATGAGTATATTTCGTCGCGAGTGTTCACTTCTGGCGCGAGGGGGGGAGGGGGCAAAAAACATGTGTTCTTCGACTATCGAAAATTCCAAAACGACACGAACCGTGATTATTTTTTTTCTTCTTTTTTTCTTTTTTTTTGGGTCATCGTCACCTCGTGTACGTACACCTGAAATCCATGTTTCGGCTCTCGGGACCATACAGCTACACGCGCACGCGATCGAGATGACATTCTGATAAGACAGCTCGTATATAATGCAATATAAGCCCGAAAGTGAAATCTATATAATATATTTGAGCGTCGTTGGAATTTTTAATGGAAAAGCGGGGCCGGGCCGCGAAGTGTTTTTTCCCATCTCGAGTGGAGAGAGATAGAGAGAGAGAGATGAAATCGCAACCCGTTATATCGCAACAGACAGTGTATGTACGCGTGTGTGACACTTCGTGAGGCGGGTATATAATTTTCACTTTTTAAAGTCCAAATAACGCCGTGTGGATGCTATCTCTCCATCACTCGAGCTCGAGGATTTATTTGACAAAAAAAAAAAGAGACAACAACTATTTATAATCCGTCGATACTTTATAGAGCCCCTAGGGTGACAATAATTTCGCTATATACGCGATACATCACTTAGCGTTAGCGCGCGCATAATATATCAAGTTTTTAAGCCACCGAGAAGGAAAAAAAGATGAAGAGGAGAGACGTGGAAGATCCGATGGTCTTTCTACTTTCCCGAAACACAACAGGTCGAGTGAAAAAAGAAGAAAAAAAAGAGTCTCGAGTGTGAACACAACCCGCGGTGATAATGGATTCGTTCGTTCGAGTCGTGTGTCAAAAGCTATTTTTAAACGATATCCTCAGATAGATTATAATATAGCAGAAAGAGAGAAAGAGAGACTTTGTTGTCGAACCCGTCCCCGCATGGTTCGCGGCCTCGTTCAAAAGTCACTCTACAATATTATATATATTATATTCGAGGAAACTTATGGGTACAGCCATTATATTCATCGATATTATAGCACTTTTATAAGGTAAAAAGCCTCGCGATAATCGATCTTCGTACACGTATGAAGAAGTGATAGCGGAGCACATTAATAAAACACATCGTACATAGTACATACACCTCTCGCGTGCGACGAAACGAGAAAGAGATGTAAATTTTTTTTTCCTCGTTATTTTCGCTCTCGCGCGTATATAAACTCACTGCTCGCGAGAGCACGAGTTAAAAGTACGCGTCTTATTATGAGTGAAAGAAATTAAAAGCTAAGCATCCGAGCCAATGTACCGAGTTTTGCGCTTGTCTCTGTGTGAGAAAAAGAGAGGAAACGACGCAATAAATGTGACACATGTGGTCTCTCGTTGACACTCGTATACGAGACGTGTGTCTGTATTTCATATAAATCGCACATCTTAATATTACGCACATTATGATGTACGAAAACGACGTCTCGGTCGTCTTGGTCGTCTTAGTCGTCAACGACGAGCAAAACACACAGACACCGAGTAAATGTTTTATATATGTGTGTAGTTCGCGCAGCCACGCGAGCGAGTTACGGAAGCGTCGAATTGGGTAGACAGCGAGGCGCGAGTGTGTCGGCGGCGGCGACGGACGGACGGACGGACGGACGGATGGACCATCAGAGTGGTGTATGTAGCGTATATAAGGCCTCGTTACTTTTTACTCCCGACGGAGGCAGACATACAGACTCCGAGACACACGTACACACACAGACGTTTGCGGGGGGTGTCGGCGGGCCCTCGCGCGCCTATATATTGCCAAGAAACGTCTCTCTTTTTCGCTCTCGTTTCATTCGAAGCGCTGCTAGCAGTGGCAGCCGCTTAATGACTATTTTTTCGTGTGCGTTTTGTTATGGTTCATTTTTTTTCTCCACCTCCTCCACCTCCTCGCTGACTGTACGCTATATACGAGAAAGAGAGAGACACGCGTCCCTCGCCCTCTCAATCTCTCTCACTTGTATTCGCACTTTTTTTCTCGTATGTGCCTAATTTCCTTCTTGCGAAACGATGCGCTAAACGAGCGACTGACTGACTGCTGCACACACATATTTGGACCCGACGTGACTCGTTATTGTGAGCTCAGGGTTTGCTCCGAAAAACGCCGAAATGGTGTTTTTGACCTCCGTATTATATATATACGAGTGACGAAGTCGGAGATTGATTTTTTGCTGCTGCTGTTAGTTGGTATATAGCTGTCGATGTCGTTATCTTCACTGCCGTTGTTGTTGTTCTCTTCCTTCCTACCTCTTTCTCCTTTTACCGACGCGCGACAAACGTCGAAGCTTTAATATTTTAACACTTTTTTGTGCCTGCCTGATCCCCTCTATTCCCCCCTTTCCGGACTTAAGATATTAATCTTTCGGCGTTAAAAGCATTTTCATCAATTTTGTTATATTATACATATATTAAGAGCCACTTAAGCCTTAAAGAGCAGCAGCAGCAGCAGCAGCAGCAGCAGAGAAATGAAAAAGCGGATCCGGCGAAATGAATACGCGAAATTACACTTATATAGCCGCGCGACGATCGAGATGCAGAAACACATATAATACACGCGGGCACGTATATTCATATAAAAATATATCGTCGGACGATGATGATCGCGAATCGGCCTCGCTCATACATATAGATATTTCGGATGATCGCTAAATATCGATCGGCAATTTTATTATGTATCTCTTATATATTATACGCACGTGTGTGTGCGTGTGCATATTATAATAATGTAATAATAGCATGCACATCAAAAATGTATAAGAATCAATTCAAAAAGTCCGACGGCGTATAACGTAAAATAAAATTAAAACAAAATATACGTACAAAAAACAGAAAAAAAATGAGGAAAAAAATGACTCTACTGCTCCTGCGGCTCGTCGTCGTTGGGGCTTTCGGCGAATCAATTAGCAAACGCGTGCGCGCGCGCGCTCCGAAAAAAATCGTGAGCCGATGTGTATAATGCGTGTGTGCGCGTCTTGTGCGAGACGAGAGAGAGAGAGAGGGCAAAAAGTAAGAAAAAAAATGAAGATAAAAAGAAGTAAAAGAGAAGTTGAGTTTTACCTAAATTTTGGGTAAAAACTATGTGTATATATGCTCGTGCTGTGTGCGAGCCCATCGTCGGGCCGCGGCAAGTATTCCCTCTTCCTTCCTTTCTTTCTCATCACACCTGTGTTGTTGTCGTTGTTGTTTTTTTTCTTTATATACACGCCAGTTTTGCAGGTTTTTCAGTGCTATGGCCAAATGCCTATATTTCGAGAGAGGCCCCACGGTATAGAGCAATTAAGTGATTCGCCTACATAAGAATTTGTTCTCCTCCGAGTCATCCGCAGCAGCAGCAGCAGCAACAAGCAGCAGCAGGCCCAGACTTTTCGTTGCTCCTCGAAGAAATTGCTTATAATATTTGTGCCTCTGTATGTGTGCGAGCTTCGGGGTTATATGCCTCGCGTTGTGTATAGCCTATAATTGGATATAGAAACCTCTTTTGTGGTCTAGTTTAGAGAACGAAGGAAAGGATTCCTCCGCATTTTTGCGCTCGAGCTACTAAAAATTGTTGCTTCTTCGCGTGTGTTTCTTCTTTTTTTTTGGCTTTTTTGCTTTTATAGCCTCATATACATGCGAAAGGGATACTTTTTTCCCCATTTTAACGCGTTTCTCTGGTCAGGTAGAGCGAGAGAGAGATATATACAAATTATACGCGCTTGGCTTTAATACATCGGCATTCCTTCGACAAATTCAAATTTTTCAGCGAGATGGCTTGAAATTTTCGCATTATACGATCTACCGCGGCAGCAACGGGCAGAGTTATATTACCGGAATGTCGTATTATGTACGCTGAGAGAACGAATTGACGAGTCAATTGAAGCCCAAAAATAAGAGTAGTGAAAAAAATCAATAATCCTCGTTGGGCGATATACCCGAGACCAGAAACGCAATAAAACATCTTCTGCGTCGGGTTGATCGAATGCGTCGAGCTGTGTGTGTGCACACAAAAGGTACTAATCCGCCTACACACGCCACTCATCGCGTCCTCTTGTATGTATACTCGTCGTCATCACCCCGGCGGCGGCTTTTATTTAATGCCTAAAAAAATCGGCAGCAGCCACCACCAGCTTAACAAAAGGAAGAATATGAACCTTAAAAAAGCAATCATCGACTCTTATATACATACTATACTCGGCAGCTCGATCACTGCCTCGTTTACACCGTATACATCAATACCTATACATAAGAGACAGAGAAGATCGAATGAAAGAAAGACGTATCATCCCCGAGGAATTTGCGTCGGATGCTCGGATCCTTTCGGATACTATTATAATATAATAGTTTATGCATGCGCGAATTTTTCGCCTTAACTCGTATAATTTCGAGGCTTACGCACTACTACACGCGGGGTGACTCATACGGCGTACGTCGCATCGCGCGGCGCTTATACTTAAATACGAAAAAAAAAATGGGAATAAGGTAGGTAGGTATATGACGA